AAACAATGTTGAATGTAATATGCAAGTAATCATCATGTAATGTAGACGGATGTTGTTAATTAGTTTTCTGTGAATAGTTTTCAACGGAACTTGAAATCATTTTTAATAGGTATACATCAAATAATAATTTTACTTCACGCTACTAATATTTTCATTAAAAAGCGTTGATCCATATAAAAATGTTTGCCATTATTTTTTATCAAACCAGGACGACAACTAATAGTTTGCCGACAATTAATAACGAAAGACGGCCACATAGCATCTGATCCGGAATGGATGATGCAGTGTACATATTTCGTGATGTTACTAATTTTTGCGACAAACTGATTTATAATTTCCACAAGTAGTAAAGAACAGTAAAAAAGGCCCAATAAGATGCCCATTTTAATGTCTCAGAAATGTATCACACCACAATTTAATTCTCCAAGACAACCCTTTGTCTATAAAATAGAAATTATTTATATTTATTTGTTCTTATTTTAAATTTTTGTAGACGAAGTAGGTCCCAAATAACTGCATTCAACAGCATTTTTGTAGAAAATTCAGTAGGTAGTACCTGCGCTCTTTGCAACAAGTTGGTTGGTTTTATTGGCACTACCGTATTATATGGGGTATAATAAATGTGTTGATCTGTTTATTATTTCTAGGTTTGCTCTGTTATTATGGTATCGTCTGTATTTTACACAAACGTTTATTTAGAATTTGGACATCCTTGTCATAAAATAAGATAAAATTTCATTTTAACAATTCTATATTGTCTAGGATTCCAAATGCTACTTATGTGGTTATGAAGAACTAAAAAGATTGTTAGGATAGGCGGACTCCTAGGGGTACTAGAAATGTTTGTGCAGAATTGCAAAGATCTATCTTAAATAGTACGAGCTCTATCAGCAGACATATTGACGGACTGGGCTTATTGGACATACAACTTTATTCTGATGAGGACGCACGCATTTTTTGAGATGGGCTGACAAATCCATAGAAAACACAATTTTTTAAACGCCTTATCCCCAATGCACTACCAAGGTATATCTTTAATGGTACGAACTCTATCAGCAGTCATATTGACAGACAAGTCTTAACAGACATACAATTTTATTCTGATCAGGAAAAATTATTTGTTTTGAGGTCTCAAGTTTATATTTTGAGGTATTGCAAATGGGTTGACATATCCATAGAAAATTCATTTTTTAACGCCTTATCCTTAAGACACTAAACATGCCGGATTTCACTGTGGTAAAAACAGGAAGGAAAGTAGTGAAGTCGGACTGGGCCGACTGTATGATACCCTTCCCCACTTTGGGTATATTACACATGTATCCTAACAGACAACCCGTTTTTGTTATATATCTATATCTGTACCGATTTCAGGGAAACTTGCCAGAGATTTATTTATATTACTTCAGTACGTTGTGTCAATCGGTCTAGCAATGGATCTTTTCACGAAGCTTAGCAAAATCAGTCTAAATTTAATTCAGTACCCTATAGCAAAATTCGTGCAAATCGAAAGATATATAGGGGCTTTGGTGCACCAATTACATAAAATCGGACGAAAATATATATGGGAGCTATATCTAAATTTGAACCGATTTTCACGAAACTTAGCACACGTCATTTTAGCCTTTATTCACTACGCTGTGACAAACTTCGTGCAAATCGAATAATTTTCAGAGACTTTGGTGCACCAATTACCTAAAATCCAATTACCTAAAATCGGGCGAAACTATATATGGGAGCTATATCTAAATCTGAACCGATTTTCTTAGCGTTATAAACTTCAGTGCATGCCAAAATTCGTGCAAATCAAAACATTTCCAGGGACTTTAATGATTTAATTTAGTACGCTATGCCAAATTTCGTGCAAATCGAAAGATATATAGGGACTTTGGTACACCATTTACCTTAAATCGGACGAAAATATATATGGGAGCTATATTTAAATCTGAACCGATTTTTCCCAATTTCAATAGGGTTCGCCCTTGAGCCTTGGATAAAATTTGGCACAGCTCATTTGTTTAGCTGTACCAAATTTTATCCAATTCGGATCATAAATGCGACCTGCACATTATTTACCATTTAACATGGACATGCATAAATCATGCTCAAAAAGTGATTCTATGCATATTCTCAAAGGGAACCATGTGTCTATCTCGTTTCCTTTTGCCTGTTACAAACATATGCACAAAGACATAATACCCTGTACCACAGTTTGGTGAAGGGTATAAAAATAATTGTAGTTTTTGGGAATTCGAAAAGGGCGTGGTACCTCCCATATACCCCCTTAAGACGTCTGATTCTATTTCGCTGAAATTTCCACAACTCTAACAAAATTTCACTGTAGTAAAAAATGATATTAACATAGCGTATTAAGTTTCATTGAAATCAGATCAGATAGATATAGCTCCCATATAGTATGCAAATTTTGCACTAAGTACCCAAAGTTTGGGTACTTACGATTGGTGTATATTAATTTTGTTTTTCAAATCAGTCCACATTTATGTATAGCTGCCATAAATTATTTTATTCGATTTCATACAAATTAAACACAACAACGGCAAATACACATATTTTGATCCGTTCAGTTAGTTAAGATATGCTAAAACGTAGGTCTCTTGAGCTTACACAAGCTTGTAATGCAGGACATAACTTCCTTTTAACTCGTTAGGAATATTTTTTCGTATTTCGCTTCCGACGTCACGGTTTCCGACAGTGGCAGTGACTAAAATATCTTTTAATACCGACAGGAAATGTTTCTTAATAATAATTGTATATCCTATTTAAATCGAACTTTGTCTACATGGTTGAAACAAATGTCATATAACTACCTCAGCTATGTGTCATAAGTGTGCCAGATTAAGTCATTATTGCTGCTTTTAAAAGATAAGGTGTGGTTTGGTCACTGTCTTGATAAATCGTTTTTATTGCGGAGTTTCATTAGCGGCATTAGAAACTGGCATTTAACTTAACCTTGTTTCGTCATCTTGGCTCGTGTTTGTTGCTTAAGTCTTTTGATTTACATGTCAAAGCATAGAAATTGAATTTAAACAATTTACAGAAATAACAACAAATGTATACGCATTATGCAGTTACAACGTTCAATCACCCCACGCAAAAACAAAAACACAAAGACTCAAATTGAAAATCCAGGGAAGAAAATAAAAGACGAAGAAGAAAAATACCAAACAGCCAACACGAAAATTAGGTGTTTTTCAAGCATGTCATCTTCATCATTCAGGCATTTAGTAGCGAAAGTGTGGTGACTCTTCCAGAAAACAACGGCGACATTATTATCATTACCATCATCAACCATCAAAGGCAACAGCAAAAATAACAACAATACCAATCATGTCAATAGCAATTCTTTGAAAGCAACACCAAACTTTAATGAATTATCGCTGAGTGCAATGTAGGCGGTAGCGGTAGGCTTGTAGGCGTTGCATATGACAGAAAAACAACCGAAACACTACTTTTCCGCACCAGCACAGCAAAAGCCTGGTACAGGTACTGAAACTGGCTTAAAGTATGTCGTTGCCACCATCGCCGCCACATAACCGCCTTAAATTGCGTCAATAAACTTGAATTAATGGATGAGATTTCAAAGACACTCACTCACACACAAACACATGCAACCGTCATCATCTATGTCTAACCACACTCATACAACCTGTTACGATAGATCGCAAATCAGAAACGAGAAACAGACAAAAAAACGCTACAGAAACAAAACACCGACTGGCAAGGAACGACAATGTTGTTAGGCGTTAATTTCTAACAACTTCTTAACATTAACCCAAAACAAGAAATGTCTAAAACGAGATGAAGATTTTTGTTGTTGCTGTTTTGCGTGTGTTTCTGTTTTCAAAAAACGATTCAAAAACGTTAAGATAGTCTGTGATCATCATGATGATGAATTGTAGTTTGAGGCTTTGCTTTGCTCTTGAACATGTTCCACAGCGAACATCTGTTTCTGGCCAAACAAAAACTTTAGAGAACTGAAATAGACAAAAAGATGCCGCCTGGCAGAGAGCAAAAATTCCATTTAGGAATTTTAGCCAACTCAACAAAAGTGCCTACAAAAATAATTGAGTGGGCAGCTAACCAAATACTCATAGTCATCATCCTCAGTCACAACTAACCATCCAACCTCCTCTTTGATGATCATCATTAATAATATTTTGCTATTGTGGCTTCTTCTTCGTCGTCTAAGCCACTATTCGACCTTAAAGAGAGTATCAAACATTTGGTTTTAAGCCAACATTTTTTCATGTTAACTTAACATTACAACTACCCATACACCGCACACCAATGCAACTGTTAGACACTCTCAATACCTGTTAACGGTTTGATGGCAACCAACACGGTTGGTTGTTACCAACATTGCTGGCCAACGTTCAGTTTGTTTTTAGCGCTCGTGCGGTACGGTTGGATTTTCTGGAAAGCAAAATCTTTGATGATTTTCTTTCCACTAACACTAGTGTCTTAAGATCAAACACCATTTGCTTTGAGAAAAAAAAATAACATAAAAAAATTTGAGACGGATCTCAAATTGTGAAATAACAAGCCTTAAGAATTCTAACTCCAAAACATAATTTGGCTTATTTGAAAAAATAATTCGCAAAAAGAAAAAAATAATTTTATATAGTGTGTGAGCTTAAATAAAAATATTTTTCTTCTTCATTTTTGTTAATTCCTCCAAGTGAAAGTTTGCCGCTTAGGCAAACAATCAACAAGTTGGAAGTTTTGTGTAGAAGGGAAAAATTAAATAAATAAATATTTATTTATTTTATATTTTTTTTTATAGTTGAAAAAAATTGTTAACAACAGCAACAGAATAAATAAATGTTTCAAGAAAAAAGTGGCAGATAAGTGATTTAATTTTTCTTAAGAAAAAATTGTTATAAAAATAGTGTTTGTTTGTGAACCAGCCAACCAGAAAACCAATAAAAAAAATACAAGAAACGCTCTTTGGCCAAGAATACCAAAAACCAAGGGAGCGAGCAAAAGAATTGTTTGTGTGGATTTTTATTTCTTCTTTTGCTGGTATCTAGGCTGCTGTTCAAGCTGGCAAAAAAAGCATGTACTAATTTTGGATTATTTTCGTTAACAAAAAATGGTGAGCAATTTTTTTTTTTTTTTTTTGAGTAAAATATAAATTATAAGAATAAAATATTTAAACAAAATTAAATACTATAAAAAAAATTAAAAGTGAAGAGAAAATCGTGATAGAAGGCATAAAAATATTATTTTGTGTTAGAGAAAATCAAAATAGAAGCCGAATGGCCTTAGATGTGATATTAAAGAAAAATTAAAAAAAATTAAAGAAATGACTTGACCAAATTTACGAGTTTTTGTGAAATTATTTTTCAATTATAAATTTAACACTAGAACGCCGAAGGCGGTCATTTTGACCGCTTTCGAATTTCAAGTACAAAAGCAACTGTGCATTTAATGACACTTTTTTTAAAATTTGGTGAATTTTTTATAATAAACGTAATTCTATGAGGTACAAAAAGTCACCATATTTTAAAAAAAAGTGTCATTAAATGCACAGTTGCTTTTGTACTTGAAATTGAATAGCGGTCAAAATGACCGCCTTCGGCGTTCTAGTGTTAACCCCATATTTAGTCAGTTTTTTTCTTGTCTTCTATGAAATATAATAATTTATATAAAAAATCTCATAAAAATTGGATCAACTTTAGAGGATATTAAGAATATTACAACGAACATTTTTGAAAATTATGTTCAGGACCATTTAAAACGAATATGAATAAAACCAACTAAAAATCATTGAAATTTCAGATTGCTGGAAGTGAAAACCTTTTAACAGTATTTTCTAATTTTGGATTATTTTAACAAATTTGTGAAACAAAAAATATTCTCTCGAATGCGTTCTTGTCTTATTCCATTTTTTTTTTCATTTTCAAAAAATAAATTTGTCGCTAAAAAATCTATTGTCTAAACTATTGTTTGTGGTTGAAATGCTATATTTTTAATAAAAATTTAGTGAAAATCTTGAAAACATGCCATAATTTTGAAAATAAATTATGAGCTAAAAATTTATAGAAATTTTGTATCAAGTGAAAAAATATTGAAACTGATGTGGTCAGTAGGTCTTGGCGAAACTCGAAATTCAGAGAGGTTTTCCTCAAGTGAACGAATATTGTTCTACTCAGTGAGTCTGAATGAAACTCGAAAAAAATCACACATGGAGAACTATTATTCGGTTAATCCTGAAAACATGTTATAATTTTGAAAATTAATTTAAAAATAACAAAATTAGAAAAGTTTTTCCCCAAGTGGAAATATATTGATGTTGTCAGTAGGTCTGAAAGAAACTCAAAAAAAGCACAGATGGAAAAGTTTTAAATTCTAGCGTAATTTCCGAAAAAAAAACTGTTTAAAACTTTTCTGCAAAATTTTATTAAGCTTATTATTTTCTTAGTGTCAACTTAACAGAATGGATTAAAAAGAACCAAAAATTATCGGATTTACAGGTTACAGACAATTAAAACCCCAAATATTCTTTAAAAATGGATGGTTAAAATAATATTAATTAAATTAAATTTTTTAATTATTATCTCCGTATATGACACTAAATATATTCAAAAAACTCTCGTCCAAGTTTCGCGTCTTTCTTTCGTTTAAAATATCAATATTTGTTTGTGAATTCGATAAATATATTTTTAGGAAAACATATAGGCATTTTGCTATAACATAAAATGATTTTTTATAAAATATTCCCAAAGGATTTTAAGTTGACCTTAGTTATTTTTAACATTTTTGAATTATCTTTCCTTTTGACAGATATGTCCACAGACATCTGGTTCTGGCATTTTTAGTCAGTGGAACTCATATTTACTCTTGAGTTTCCTTAATGATTTTAGAATATTTTAGAAACACATTAAAGTTCCTAAAAATCTGCTTTACCAAATTATATTCACTTTGTATAGCTTAATATTTTGAAATGAAATACATAAATAATAAAAATTCTCTCCAATTTCTGGTTAAAAGAAATGATAATCCGATATTCTGTATTTCATTTTCTGTCTTTCAATTTGCAATATTATCAATTTTTCGGAACGTCATAAAAAAATGTATTTTTAAATACACATCTTTTTTGAATTTTTAGAAAATCTAGACATCATAAGCATCTCCCCATATTAGTCCTCGTATATTAATAATATTTTTGTATATTGTGATTTAAAAAAACACACTTCAAAATTGAGTCCTTTTGCGGGATGAATATTTTGCTGTTCCAACAATTTGTGTAGGTTTAAAAAATAATAGCCCCACATTATTAAGCAAATCACGTTCTGCCACTTCGTAAAAAATTATATATTATACATCTTTAAATACCCATTTAAAAAAGTATCTAAAAAATTGCATCTTCTATTGTATTTCAAAATTACCAGAATTGTAATTAATATTATATTGTCAATAATATGTGTTGTTGAATATTTTAAAAATTACAGACATATTAACAAAACGATGCCTGTTAAAAACCCAATTATATTGAAAAGACAGGTTTTAAAACAAAATCCAAAAAAAGAAAACTGAAATATTTGCAGCTTCTCTAAGCATTTACATGTCATAAAAAATTCAACTCATCACAAACATGTTTTGTTTTTTTCTATAATTCATTAAAAAATATATAAATAGAATAGAAATAAAATGTATTACCTTAACCCAGTAATAGAAAAAAGTGTAAATGATAATCATATTAAAAAAAATTAAATACAATATATTTGTATATGTGTATAGAAAAGGCTTATTGTTTTAATTTTTTTGAATGATGATTAAAGCTGCTTAAAATAAAATATATATTATTTTCTTAATTAAGCTGCATATGATTTTATTTTAAGCAGAATCTTTAACAATTAATTATAACTTTAATTGCAACTTTGTGTGAGCTGCACTCAATTCCCTTGTCTATTCTGTTGCCATGTGTTTTTTGATCGATAACACCCCTCCAATAATTATAATTAGAAATTAGTTATATTATGGAAACAAAAATCCCATTATTAAATCTGTCAGTGACCCATTACTTTAGCTATTATCCAATCCGAACATCAGACAATAACCTTTGTTTGGGATTTCATTAGTTTCTCTCACTCTCGATTTTCCTAAAACAAATCTCCAATGCACTTGGTGTGAATAATTTGATATTAATTTTGAGGTTTTTTTGTGATTTCCCATCCCCATCATCATCACCCCAGCCAATGTTATGTGAAAAAAATAAACTGACAACAAACGCAATGAAACCAGCTTAACAATAACGTCATATAAACAACAAACAAACACAATTTATTTTTTTGTTTTTTATAAATTCAAGATGAGTAGCTGCAATGATAATAATACGCTGGTGCCACAATTACGGCAAGGGCATTTTTTATGATGTCAGCTATATAATAAAATAGAAAATCTATGTAGCTTTGGAATGGATTTTTTTATTTATTATTTTTTTCTTGATTGTAATCAAACATCAATCAATTGAATCAAAGGGGTTTAAGATGCAAAACAGATGTCACAAACAAATTTTTCAAATTATCTAAATGAGCGAATGACAGATTGTGAAATTATCACGTACTGGGTGGTGCCAGGGAGAGCGACAATATATAAAAAAAATATACAAAATATGGAATGCAGCAATATTATGTATAGACCACAAGGGAAAGAATATTTTTACCTGAGAAAAAATTAATAAATTCTCGGATAATAAAAATTCCAAAGAATCCGTTGATGAGTTTCAAACAGGTGTCAGGGATTCTAATAAGTAAAATTAAAAATCAAAAATATATTTATTCATCTACAATAAAATTTGTAAATAATTTGGATTTCAACATCTTAAAGCAAATTAATTGTTAAAATATGACCTGTTTTATGTATCGAATTATTAAAAATAACCGTAAATAAAGCCTCCAACTAGAGCGAACGTTTTTAAAATTTCTAAATCCTAAGCCCCGTACCAAAATTTATTTCTGGTACATCGGTGTTGGGCCCAAAAATATAAACTTCCTTAAGCTTATCTTCTTGTAAATGACTAATATGTTTTAAAAATTTTGAAAATTTTGAATTCATTCCTGTTTTCTTCCAATTTTACTCTCCCTCTCACAAGCTTGTGTCTTAAGTCTTTTGTTTCAAAGAAAACAAATTGCAAATCCTCCATAAATGTTGTATTATTAATCGGTCTCTTTCATGTTTGTGTCTTAAGTCTTTTGTTTTGCAATCACATACCAAACGATTACAACTCACATTTCTTTCATTTCATTTCTTTTATTATTTTCATAATCATAATTTTCTTTTTCCTCTTAAATTTAACAACCCACACCATTAAAATTGAAGATAACTTCAAAAAATAAATGAATGAAACCGAAACTAACTGATTTTTTTTGCAAGTAAGAAACAAATCACACAAATAGTAAAACAAAACGCAAACCTCATTATCATCATCCTCAAAAAATTACCCTAATAGACTCAAGTGAAAGTTTTGCACCTTTGGCTAAACACTCACAAAAAAACTATTTGAAAAAAAGATAACAAAGAAACAGTACTTGGCAATTTATTAGCTGTTTTATTTACTTCAAAAGTTTTTTTTTACTTTGCTATTTCAAACAGTGTTAAGCAAACAAAAAATAAATTGTCCAAAAAAACACGAAATGAAGGCACAGACGTTGAAGTAAAATTTTAAATCATGGTGATGATGTGGGGGAGGAATTTTAAGAGTTTGAAAAATTTTGATTTTTGTTTTCAAATATTTTTGATAATTTTTTTTCTAAAATAGTTTGAAATAAATTTATGAATTTTTCTACAAACAAAATTATTATTTAGCACTGTTCTCAGTACGATGAAAGTGTTCTATTATTAGAATGAATAGAATTAACTCGAGAACATTTTCCTGTGATAATTTTTTATTCTAGGTCTTTCGAAGACCTCAGAAAAAAATGTGTTTTCAAAAGTCAAAAACATCTTCTAGGACATCATACTTCTTCTATGATCAGAAAACCTTATAGGGCTTTTATTGGCATATGACCTTCAATCTAGGCTTTCTAAAGGCAAGCAAAAATTGTCATTAGAATGTTTGAAATATTTTTGGCATAAACGTATTCTGTACGA